ATAATTGACTACAAAGCTTCTTTGCTTATCTTGCTGCAGAAATAAATTTTCGATTTTTCAACACTTACGAGATCCAACATATTGTATACATATCTGAATAGATAAACTTACAAAAAAGTTCAAGTTTCATTCATACTATAAATAAATAACGTTTGGTATACTTAGAAAATTTAATTATGCAGCAAAGACTGGAATCAAAGAACGCTGGAATTAAATTTCATCGTGTAAGCACACTGTTTTAGGAAATTCACAATTTAAGTTTCTAACATCCAAATGCAACAAACGCCAGAATCCGTTTCATTAAATCGTTACAAATTCCGCCAAGATGAAAATTCGGTATAAATATGCGAAAAGCGTTTTGCAAATCGTCATTCAATCTAAGAACAAAAGTCTAATTGGCCTTATTATTATACATATGTAGAGTAATAGGTAATTTGTAAGACACACCGAGAGACTTGATGTTGATTAAATATTGACCACATTGTACTTCGTAGAAGGTAACAGTTACGAGAATGCGTAGGAAATGTTTAACGATGGCCATTTTTTTTGCAAAAACTTTTTAGCAAGATGGCAGTAATACAAAACAATCGATGGAGTCAAAAATGTGATTTGAACATACAACTTCCTCATGAGACCATCTCTAGTAAGTACCAATAGCAACGAGAAATACATGTATCAATTCCAATGCTGAAGTAAATGTTCGCGTGTAATAACTTCTCAGTTGCATCCCTAAATTGTGAATTACAATCACATCGCTAGACATTCAGATTCCAGGTATTAAGAGATCTATAAAAAAACTTACAAAGCAATCAGCTTAGATTGACAAGAACCCCACCTCTCTTGTAATTTCTGACGTTGTTCTACATGATGATCCGACAGGTTTTTCAGTAAGCTTCCTTGTCCTGTTTTCAATTTTCTAGGGTCTAAATTGGCTCCTAATGTCTGTACACCTTTAGCGAATTTCGAGAATGGCGATAAAATATCTTTGGCCGTGGATGAAGCTGGGCTAGCGGTGACAGCAATATTCGTTTTTATAGATTTCAAAGCAGATTCACTTTGAGAAGATGTGATGCTCAAGGTCAAATCTTGTTCCGAGGTGGATCTTTTTTTATCTTGCAACCTATCCGTTTGCAAATTATTACAGTTCATATTGTTGAGCATCAATCTGCTTTCCATTGCCTCAGAGGAATGACTAATATTTTTTGTAAGATTTAATGTCGAGGGCGGGACCACTCTCTCATTATCCTCAACCAAACTGTCGGTCATATTCTGGATTGTTATTTCTGGCGTTGTTGCTGCAGTCATTTGAGAAGAAGCACTCAAGGTGTTTGTCCCAAATGCTGGTTTTTGAAGCTGTAAGTTAGATTTTTGATCAGACAAATTATTAGGTCGTGTTATCAAATCGTGATCATCAGGCTCCACCACATCAGCATTTTTCACCCCCATTATGATACCAATAGATGGAGTGTAAGCTTCCATCAAATTCTTATCGTGGCTAAAGTTTTCTGGTTTCTCTAGAGGACCAGATGGTATACAAATATTCTCATCATCGCTACTGCTACTGCTGTTATTACGCTTTCGTTGTATTTTTCCGGATATATCTCTACCACCAACCGTAAAGGTGGGTTTTGCAAGTGGTTCAGATTTTTTTCCTATATTTTTTGCCACGTCAATCGGTTTCCTAGCACTAAAACTATGACTGAGTTTGTTCAACTTGCTGAAATGCTCTGACATGTTGTTCAAAGCTTTTGTTCCTATAAGAAATATTGTAGGATATTATTTACATAAGCAATGATGTAGAAAGACATGTACCTGCACTTTTAAGAGCTAGCAACTGTGTTTCCGAGACGTTCCTAGTCAACTCTGGGAAAGATGAAAGATCTAGGAGACCCGTAGATCCTTTAACATTAACTAGCTTACTCTTCCGTCTATCAATTGTTACATCTATTGCTATAGGAATATTTTGCAAACCTGACATTTCTATTGCAACAGCGAAAGTTTCACAGATTGCCCTTAAAGACTCTACAATATATAAATTAATATATCACTTGTCTAAAGATTAAATATCGAATAAAAACTTGTGTTTATACCTGTGCTTTCCTCTTCAGTTTTTATGACAGCCATATTATTAAAAAACTGTAAATTTGTACTGCGAAACATGTGAAAATAACCGGTTTCATTGGCTACTTTGTAATTGATTCTAATACAATAAAAATGTTTATTTTTAAACAAAGAAACTAAACTCTCAGACTTTCCACATTCGATCAGTACAATGTCCCCCAGTGAAACTTTTTGGTAATTTGTGACTTTGTCGATCTGGTCATCATAGTCAGCGACATAATAACAGTCTCGTGTTAAAATAAGAATAGTATCCATTTCCGTTTCTGTTGGGTCTCCAGTTCTATTAATAGGTGAGATTGTGACCACGAATTAGTCTGTCATAATCTGGAAAACCTATTCTACGATATAAAATGCATTACATACACTGGATCTGCATCAATAAGACTCCAGCTGCCTAGAATAACTTCTGGGTCAGGTACAAGTAATTTCTTGCAATCCTCTATTAATAATTTCACATGAATTGCAGTTGCTGCATTATCTTCTTCTTCTGTACGTTCTTGAAATACTTCCTCATTCACTGAATTCCCTAACATCATATCAATGGTTGCCTGTCTATAAACATCCCTGAAGCGATTTAAGTAATATCTGAAAAAGAAGATCGATATAAAAGCATGCGAATACTAAAAACCATGATAAATTAAAAAAGAGTTTGTCTCATAAAGATAAAGGGATACTTTTTAGGATTTAGACCAAACTTAAAAACAAGCACCTGACATGCAATAGAAGCTTTGCCATGCATCAAAAAACAATTCTTAAATATCATATTGGATAAAAGTTTACATTGTCATTCTGTATCTTATTGTTAGACACTATATGTTGATAATGTTTAATATTTAAAGTAACACTTTATGTATTTCGATTTGAAAGCTTTGTACACAAAGCTTCGGACGAACCTTACTAAATAATACATAGCTCTGGCATAAAGAAAGTCAGGATAAGTAGCAAGTTGAAGCTCTATGCTTGTCGTTATCATGGGGATTATCTCATTGCAGCAATTATCAAGGATGTCTAAATAGTGCAACCAATTGGTATTCAGTTCATTAACGTTGATAGGATTCCCTAGCAAGATATCTATCGCCACTTGACGTATGTCATCCATAAAGTGTTGTCGAAAATATCTATAGGAAAATGAAAGGATAGTGTCAGGGTTCTATGCATGTATAAAGAAACCGGTATTTAAGTGATGATCGTATTAACATTATCAAATGGAACAGCTTGTAATAATTTATTTGTATAGAAAAAAAATTACAGCACTTGAAAGGACTTTTTAACCATATGATAATGTGTTGTGTAGGATGTGTAAATGAGAGTGATGATCTAATGCAATGCAGGGCGCGTATCATAATGGCTGTCCGATTGTACCTGTTTGCAGAATTCATGCCATCTTTCATTAACCCAGTAAATTTTCTTTCCCCTGTTCTCGTGTAATCTCCCTATAATCAGTAAGAAACTACATATCATAAAAGTTCAGAAGCCAGTACAGTTTCGTTTATGATCAATGGAGAACCAATGAGAGAAGGAACTACCAAAGTACGAACCTTCAAAGCATTTGTTCCAGCATATTGTTTACTAATAATATCGCCATTATTGGCCCAAAGCAATTGAAATGTCTGCTTGATATTTGTTGGCAGCGTACCGTCTGGCGGTATTAGTCCTAGTTTAGAAAACTGCATTTCCATTATAGCTTTACCCAGAGCAGTTTGCACCACATTCGTCCTATCTAGGCAATCTATGCAATTCACCCGAAACACTCCCTTCTGCATGCAAATTGTGCCTTGTTTATCATGCCAACAGTACCCCATGTCTGTCAGTACTGTAGCCAATGCATTGATCAGTATAGACACATTTTCAAAATGCATTCCTCGACTGTGTTAGGCACAAAGATATATTTAACAACAATTCAAAATATATTAAGCTAGAACCTTTGTATGCTCTTACCAATACTCATGAAAATCAAACGATGTGTATGTCACGTCCGGATGATTGTAATTTATCACATGATTACTGTAAACTTCCCAAACGATTTTCTCCTTACCAGCTTGTTCTACAAGATTGACAATACAAACTGGACCATACAACTGAAGTTCTTCTGTAAAATGTTTTTCAAATGCCACTTGTGTTTCTGTTTCGCCTAGAATATTACACACAATTACTTTAATCTGATTAATTAATCATCAGTTGATTAATTACCTCTATCTATATGTGGCGGAGGTTTATATTTATAGCCAGGTTGAGACCAGTATACAGGCACGCTGCCTCGAACTTGTACAAAAGACATTTGATGGTCATGATACCACACTAGTTGTTCTGTTTCTACATAATTTGCACATTTTCCATCATCATCCACCCCACGTCGTTTGTATCTTTGTTATTACAAAAAAAATATTATTTATATACGAAATCATTAATGAGAAAATTATAAATACAAGAGATAGTCACCGTGTTCCGGCACGAAATCTACTTCTCCTTGATATAATAGCTAAATTAAAGGTTTCATGTTGAGATTGACCATCAAAACCTACTTCTACTTTACAGCTCTCTATCTGCACATATCCCTGGATAACAGGTAAAATCCAACAATCTGCTTTATCTGTCTGGAAAAGTAAGATATTTTATAAAAATATGAATTTTTTAAAACAGTAGATGACATTTTTAATGATTCTAACTTTTAGATTGATTATATCCTGCAGCATGTGTTTATTCCAGAAAAATCTGTCATCTACTCTTTGCCAAAGTGGTTTATCCAATTCTACATCCAGCCTTGATTCTGTATTGCAAAGACGTTGTAGGCTGTTGGTAATATCACCAGTTTGACAATAATAGAAAGAATCTGTTTCTGAGAAAACTTTGTGCAATTCTTCAAGAATCCTTTTCTCAAATCGTTCTTTATCCTTTACAACACTTCGTTTAGATACTGTAGATTTTACCTAGGAGTAACTCTATATTATTTTTACATTCTGTTGGTAACTAATACCACATAATACTTTGGTTTAAAAACTACCTGAGATGTTGCTAGTGCAGCTGCTTGTTGCGTAGTATTTTTTATGGTATTGGTTGCATTCTTAATAGTTCCCCATGTCTTGGCAAAAGCTGCTTTCTGTGGCACGTCAAACAAACTACTTTGACTTTTTTTCTTTGGCAAATTCTGATGCTTCTTACATGCCAACAGTCCAATGTCATTATTTTCTGAGCCAAGATGTAAAAATGTAATAGATTTAATCTTATATACAATGTGACCTCCATATAATTCTCCAGCTGGTGAAACTTCTTTAATTAGCATTAAACGAGGTTCTAATACTGATGTTTGTTCTATTTTTCCAATGATTCCATAAAATATTCCCAGACATTCTAAGTCGTTTGGAGAGGCCCACTCCCAATCTAGAGATAAATTTATAATCAATAATAATTGAAAATATGTGTAACTTGAAACCATAAATTTTACCTATAATTAAGTTAACTGCAACATCTCTCACGCATTTACATAATTAATATACTATAGCTATTGAAAACAAAAACATGATGTACTTCCAACATATGCATTTCTCTACATGTATTAATTTAGTAGTACATAATGATTTAGTCATGGTTTATGTATAAATAATGCTTCTATTGTGTCAAGTAATACCATGCACTTTGCCTCATAGAACGAATTAGTGCAGAATTATTTTGCTTGTGTTTCACAGAGGATTATAGCAATTACATGTGAGAATTATAAATTGGGAATTGCAACGTATATTCTGTTTGACGTGTGAACATATACGAACTTCTGTCAAAGATGTATATGTATATATGTACCCACCCGATTTCGCAGAGAATTCACCCGTAAATTTGTCACACCACAGGCTATATCGCTCTTTCACGAAAATAAAATGCGTGTCAGTGCGAAACAGTTCCATTCTTCTGATTTATCTGCGGGACGATAATTTCCAGGCTGCATGTGTAATGTTAGCTCTCTCGACTACTCTCGACAGTCTGCCTATGATGGATGATTCGCCATCTTGCTCCTGCGTGCGTGACTAACAATACATATGTACATACATACAGTCTGTAGTCTGTTTCACAGAACGTCGACACAGAGTACAAAACATGCACACATCTCTTATAGTGGTGTGTCTTCGATCAAAGTGTAGATGGCGAATGATATGCATTGATATACATATGTATTCAGCAATTCATCTGTTGCAGGTTGTAGCTGATACTAGAAGTTGACATGGAAATTTCGCAACTTAACTGTCGTTTACAGTACAACAATGAAATTTCAAATTACTTGAACATTACCTATTTAAAGACTATATTATATATTATATTCATTGAAAAAGAAAGATTTGGAGACAAATAAGGCAGACTTGTTTATAGTACAAAGGCTTTATTTAGATTATCTTTGATTACACATTTTGTACATGTTTCATGTAACTCATAAGTACGTCATAAATACAAAGAAGCATGTGAAAATATGCGAATTTACGCAGTGTAGCATGAAAACTTGAAGCGCTGTAAATAACGATTAATTAAAATCATTATCCATCATTAAGATCATCGTTCAATGGAAGAATACTTAAAATTTCTATATGTTTCTAAGCATTACATATGCTTTTATCTTTTTTATCCTTCTCTTTATACACAATTTAATGGTTTTTTTTTCATTATTATCTTTATGGTAGTTAATGATGGATTCTAAATGGTTTTTAAATAGTGAGAAGATTCATAAAATTTAACAAGTACTTAACATTCTCAATAATTTTACTCATTGTTGGTCTCATTTCTTCTTTCTTGTTTAGCTTTCTTAGCTTTATATTCCTCCCATTTCCTGTGATTGAGAGTTTGAAAGTCATCGACTTTAGCTATTAATTTTAAATACTCTGATAACTTCAGCAACTCCCTATCTTTGCTTCTGGTAAGGTGTGCATGCCTGAAAGGTTTTATTCTCAATCCTGATTGTGGATTCATAACGAAATTCCTCCTAATGTCGTCAAACATTATGGTGTTTTTTGCAGAGAACTGTTTATACTTTCCCCAGATAATACCAAGAGGCTTCACTCCAACTAAACCATACTTTGGTGTATGAACAGAGATCATAGCTAAAGAATCAAGGTGAAATGCTATTTTGTAATGAGGATGATTCGAGACTCCAAGTAACTTCATCTTCTCATTGATCCACCTCATACTAGTTGCTGACCAAATTACTATATCATAATCTACATAAGCTTCCATTAGAAACTCATGGAGATATGGTCTCATCAACTCTACTCCACTTTCTGCAGTTGATCTATGATCAAAAAGGGTATAGTCTATATCCAATACCAAAAGTTTCTTCCCTTCCCTAAGTGGATTTAATTCTGTGATGGAATAATGTTCAATTCTCTTTTGAATTTTGGAAAGATAAATCTCTGCATTCTCAATTTCCACTTCCTCTTCCTCGATATCTAAATCGTTAACTACATCTGGCATATCTTTCGGAGCATGACTTACTTCTGCAATGTCCTCTTCTGTGGATCCCATTAGCATAAGCTTGAAGCCTGGCCTCAGGCCCAATTTCCCTATAATATCTGCATCCTGAGCTGCTTTGCCTGGTGGAGAGAAAGATTCTATAGATACTTGATCAAATTTTAAATTGTTTAAAAAACTGTTTCATGCAAATTTTCAACTTCACAGCAAGCACTCAAAATTAAAGAAAAGGGATAAGGTGTCATCAAAATACTAATGTTATTCTCAAGAAAAATGATGGTCGAGACAAACATGAAGACAGTTCAAAACATAACCTTTGAATTTGAGGTTCAACAACTTTTGACGTTCGGGGAGGACGCCCGTATGCTTATGTATACGCTCTTTTAAAGATAAGACAGTGTCATCATGTTGTATATCCGGAAGCTCATATTCTTTTCCGCTCCATTTAACAATAATCTTTACTTCACCTTCCATTCTTCTGAAAATAATGACGCGACACCAAACGTTGCGTATATACTACGAAATCATTGCCTGTACACGTACTATGTTTCACTGTAGTGGAATAGTAAATTCAAACAATCACATTCGTACGTTGCGTCTGGCACTATGCATGCTTATATACATATATGTATATACATACATACGTATGTTTCGCAGACTTGAAATTAACATAGACGTCTAATGCAATATAATTTTCTGTTTACAGTCCTGATTTACCGACGCTGTTAAAAACAATGTTCATTGACGATAAGTATATAATATGTGCAAATACCTCGTCTATGCTACATAAACAGTAATGAGACCTACTCCTGCACGCTTTTCTTAATTTCTAAGTAGGCACGTACCTCCCCACCATTTTACTGCACATCCAATCCACAGTGTTAGCTGATTGGCACTAGCCAATCAAAGCAAAGAAAATTTTTATATCGACTCTCGTTAACACATTAAGCTACGTCCTGGTGGTGTGAAGGAGTAGGACCCATTACTGTCGTAAGGACTACTTGTATGTACGTATTATATGGTTTTAGACTATAAATTGAATTTTAAGGTAACCTGCAAAAATATTTACAAAGCAATGTTATGAATAAAAAAAAAATCTCAAATAAATTCGTATTAAATACTTAAGTTAAGTCTTAAAACAACAACATGGAGAAACAAAGCGAGATCGTTGTCTGTGTACCTGGTAATTGTATACAAACATTTAATGGATACAAAATTCAATTGAAAAATAAAAATAGGTGTTGTTTTATTTGTAACAGGTCAAAGACTATGTGCTTCTGATAAAATTAATATACCTGGACCTGGAACTTACGAACAACAGGGTTATATTTATTCTAAACTTGCAGGTGTAGTTAAATTGGTACCGCAAGAAAATGTATGAATATATTGTGAAAATCATACCTCTTATTGATATATAACAAAATTCTGTTATTACAGTGTGATTATATATTTTAGACGCATACAATTGAAGTCCATGGTATAACAGAACAAAGTATTGTTCCTGCACCTGGTGACATAGTAACTGCAATGGTCACTATTGTCAACCAAAGGTTTTGTAAGTGCAGCATAAAGTGCATAGGTGATATTGTATTAACAAGACCTTATAGAGGGATTTTAAGGAAAGAAGATGTTCGCGCAATAGACAAAGATAATATTCAAATGTACAAGTGTTTTAGACCTGGAGATATTATTCTTGCCAGAGTTGTATCCTTCTTTGTTGTACTTACATGTTTACATTACAGATTTATATATTTCCTTACACAATTAATAGTTACCAATGACAGAAGCACACACTTATCAATTAAGTACTGCAGAAAATGAATTAGGAGTAGTAATAGCACATAGTGAAGAAGGTAAGTTATTAACTGATTGCATTGCCATTAATAATCTAGCAATTAGAAAAAAATGATGTTTGTCTTGCTATCAATAACTATTTTACAGGTGTAGCTATGATACCTATAAGTTGGATACAAATGCAATGTCCTAAAACATTACGTAAAGAACATCGTAAAGTCGCAAAAGTAATTCCTGAACATATTATTACGGAGCAATAATATACCACTAAAGTTACACTTTTTACTTTCACTTCCTGTAAAACGTACAATTAATAAAGTAAATTATATTCACTGTAACAGATTTACTTCAATATAATATCAATCCTGCAAACTATAGTACTGTGATATTACAATATCGATCTTATCGACAAGCATTTCTGCAAGGTTCGAAAAAGAAATACATGAGGGCGCATCATGATGCTGCAATTACATCAGTGTTTCTCAGTTTGAATCTAAATTTTCAAAATATCGTATAAAATACGTAAACATTTCAAAAACAAATTAATAAGAAAATGGCTGATGAACGAAATTTTCGTTCTTCCTATTATGAAAAGGTAAATATATTCAAATGACCTATTATTTCAATCTGTATACAATATAACCAATTTACGATCTTTAATTTTCTTCATCGTAAAATTTAGGTGGGGTTTCGTAGTGTTGAGGAAAAAAGATCCTTGGAAATATTACTGAAAGAACGTCCCTTTGATAAAGCGAAATTGAAACAATTTTGTTTGCGATTTACAGTACCAACAATATACAGAAATTTTTTGTGGAAAATATTGCTGGACGTAATTCCAGTTTATGTAGACAGTCATGAGTTTATAATGAATCAAAGAAAGGCAGAATTCCAGGATTTACAAAAAGCTCTAAAAGTTACCAAGATTCTGGATGATTATACAAAGCCACATTTAATGTTTCTTACAATGTGGTTGTTACGCAATAGAAGAGCGAAACTTGACATGAGTGCTCAGCTAGAAATTCCTCTCCATAGGTATTTATTTCAAAGTTCTTCATCACAAAAGTATAATCTTTCATTTTATTATGTTTATTAATAAATGTAGTCATTTCAGAGCTATGAGTAGAATGGCTGAAACCTTATGGCACATTATAGATATCGATTCCAACGAAGAAAAGCTTGTAGACACGTACTGGATACTGTGTGGCCTTCTAGATCAAGTGCAAAAATTTCACAAGGAGGTCAATAGGTTGCAAGAATGCACATGTACTTTATTAGAAAAAGAAGATCCAGAACTTTATAAACATCTCGTTGAGATTGAAGCACTTCATAACATACCATACGATGTTTGGTTTTGTTCATGTTTTGCAGGAACCATATCTGATGGTTCTATAGTAAAGTATGTCTATTTAAGATATTTTAACAAAGGATCAGTCTTGGGCATTATTCAAATAATATATTTCAAAAATAAATTAGTTAAAATAATTCATTATTTCAAGTTGTTATGTTTTTTTGTATTATTCCAAACAAAATGTGCTCAAGTCTGCAAGAAGTTCTGAGAATGTATAGTTATTAAAAATTAATTCTTTTATCTGTTATAGAATTTGGGACAAAATAGCTGTGGGTGCACACAGAATTTTAATTTTTGTTACTGTAGTAACATTAACAACTTTAAGGAGGCTTTTACTGCGATGTGAAAACATAGATAGTATATTGGATACTATTAGCAATGTACAAAAATAATTGCATGCATGAACATTGACAAAATGGAAAATTAGAAACATCATCATAAAATAACACACTAATGTCCTTTTTCAGATACCAGAAGAGAGTTCAGAGGTAATTGTCAATAAGGCAATTGAATCTTGGCAGCAAAGTGGTACGACATTGACAACTATTTCCCAAACTGTTTAAGGAAAGCTAAAGTAATATTAATATATATTTTTGTTCAAAAAAATGTAAATATGTAAATAAATCCTCGTGTAATATGTGAAAATTTATATTTGTAGAACATGTGTTCTTGTATCTTAAAAATAATTATTTTTATTAATGCATTCGTCATACATTTTACATATACAATTACTTAATTTATTGAGGTGTTAAGTCTTAAATTGGACTTTATATTCCTAATATTGTGATTCTTTTGTTTCCTCTCTTTGCAATGTTATATTACAACAGTGTTAATGTACTCCAGTGTATAAGAGCAAGTTAATAAATAATTTTTAACTCAGGCAACCATATACAAATATTTTATGGCTGTATTCTCCAAGAAATGTATTGTGTAACGCGTTCACATTAATATAGATTGTTCGTTGTGAACATTAAAATAATTCTGTTGCGTGTTTCAAACTTGTGCAATTAGAATGGAATTTCATTCCATGGTGTACCTTAACAACAACATACAAACAATATTAAATTTCGATATGCATAGCACTTTTTGTCTTAATATCAGCATAATTCCAAGCAATGGAACAGTACTGATAGTTTAAAATTGTCCAAAAATTAGTTAAACTTTCTTTTGAATGTTTATAAAAGAAATAATGTATCGCAATTTTATGTACATTTTTGTCTAATTTAGAAAATAGAAAAATTCTTGGAGAAGAGTGAGATCATACAAAATTTTATTTCTTGCTCACGCATTGCACGATATTTCATGGGTTTCCCTACTGCTTTCTAGTGTTACATTTTTTTAAAATAAATTTTTGCAACTATTCACTCTTTGGTTTTTAATAGGTATCTGAGTATCCTTTTTTTGCCTCTTGAATACCTTTCAACAAATGGCAGCAATAACTAAAAAAATCTTACTAACAACAAAGCTGCATTTGATCCAAACATTTCGGAAAAAATTCTTAATCGCCTGTTAAATAATTTTAGCAGTGTATAGAAATTTCAATGTAAGATCAAACTTTGTAATCATAAATCAATTTTAAATAATGTTGGCAGATCTTGTTTAAATTCAAAGACTTTATACTATGGCAATGCACATATAGTTCTGCGAACACTAATTCTCTCATAAAATACAAGTGAAATGCACAAATACACTACACTATTGTTGTATTTCCTTAACATCAATGACTCCAATTTATAACATGCACATTTTTTTTAACATTAAGGAAACGCTGTACGCATTCAATTAATAATGTTTGCAACATTCTCGATCGGAATCTATCACTGCCATCGAATACGGCAAAGTACGTATTTCGTTATATAAATTGTTTTTTCCTTTCCGGTTAAGGCCATTGCATTCATTCTGCTGACGTCTAATTATTAAAATAAATATTTTATGCAAAGAAAAATAGTTAACGTATTTTACAAACGTCGGCTAACTTCTCACTAGGTATTATATGCAACTGAAAACTTATTTTCTATTTCTTCAGCTACTTAGTATCATTTACAATGTCTGTTCACTCTTTCTCATCTATTCCACTCATCTCTCTCCCTAATTTTCGAAAGGTTTGCTTAAATCAAAGGAATGCATGAAAAAAATGAAACAAAAATACACATCCACAAATAAATATAGTACTTCGTTATTTTTTCAGATATAAATCACAAAATTATGGAAAAGATTGAGTCTCGTGATATGTGTGATAAAAGTAACAGGTGCTCTTGCCCTAAATTACAAAAAAAGAAAGAAAAAATCTGTCAGAAATGAGTGACGTAATGATAAGGATTCGACACAAACAGTTCAATAATTATTTGTTATAAATCTAGTAAAAATACTGGTTACAACTTTCATTCGTTTCACCGTTATATGCTAATCGGCAAGCTACATAAACTAGGAGTCACTGATAAATGTATCAAGATGTCCAGTGCTTGATTTGGTACAAATTTATATTATAATCTTTATTAAAAAAAAAAGATAAACAAGAAGAGAAGGTTTTTTGGATGTAACGAAATATCTAAATAGATTGAACGCAATTTTCAACTCGGTCTACATATCATAAAACAAGCACTGCTCGTAAAACTTCTTCAGAACCTAAATATTTAAGTGGATCGATAATTCTAAAGATCAAACTTAAGTTATTGACTTAAAGGCGTAGTATAATACAATATAGACAGCTCTTTGAAAAGTTGGTGCACTTGATAGTAACGATTGTTTCTCTAAACATAGAGTTTCGTCACTGGGCAAGGATACATATCCCTCTTTCTTGCAGTGTCTTATTTCAATTTTGACAATAGCTATAGAGCAGCAGAGTTGCAATTGTCGACTAGAGGTGACAGCGGTCCTATTTTTCCTTTGCCGCTTCCCAATTTGTCCGCCTCATAGTGTACATCCAAAGATAAACCTTAAATTATGAATAAGGAAAAAAGGATAATTTAGTGTACATATTTTGAATATGTTCAACATAATATGTACATGGAAAAATTTTAAGTACGTGTGTGTTACATAATGTATGTATAGATCTTCGATTACATTAATTTATATTCAGCAACAATATTACTTTGATGAACTAATTTGAATGAAACGAATTATCAAAAATAAATCTGACTCTTAACATAACTAACAACCTTTAACGTACATTTCTGATATGCGTATTTACCGGAGGGCCTCCGGGAGGTGGATGGATGATGTAACGGTCCTGTTGGCATTGTATTTGATTCGGGTATAAATGCAGCTACCAGTAATGCACATATCACAAGTAATGCACCAAACACAAATGGTGGCCCTGGTACAAGCTGAAAATATTGACTTTTTAGTTTCAACAATATATCGCTACCAGTCAAATACTTCTATGAAAGATGAATGTAGAAAATATTTCATTTATAACGAAACGTACCTGGGTTACTAGCTGTGGTATAATATCAGGATGTTGTGTGGCAGTTCCTGTTTTATTATTTTCATCTAAAGGGGATGGTTTAGCAGGAAGAGGAGAATTATCGTTGAGATCAACGCGAAACAGATAAAAGATTACTCCGAACATTGCAGGGCCAAGACCATTACATAATCCACGCATTCCAGTTACCATGCCTTGTACCAAACCCTGCTTATCAGCATCCGAATGCATGGATATGAATGCCGAAATTGCAGGATATGTGATACTTGACACAGAGGCAAGTACTCCAGCAGCCCACATCATCCTAGAAATGCAAATGATAGTAAACAAAGTTGAAATGTTTCTTAATCTATGTAAAACAAATAAGAGAATACTACCATGTTTGTGAACCAAAGCCGAACCACATAAGTTGTAACATTTCAAATAAGAGGCCCAACATTATAGTATGTTTACTGCCAAGTGTCTTTATTAAAACACCTAAGAGACTTTGAGCTCCAACGCTTAAGATTCCTACTACAGCAATAAAAAATGCTACCATCAAAGCTGTAAACCCCATAACTTTAGTCAAATAGACAAATATACAACTATATTGTCCTGCTTCAGGAAGATAGCTCAGGAACACAGTAATACACAACATTAAGATAGTGTGATCTTTGCCAACCTGAAACATAATAATTGACATTTACATATTCTGAATTCGTTCTGAGACAAATATTTCGTTTCCATGCGATTCGAATTCGCAAAATATGTCTGAAATAGAATTTGTAGGAATTCTTGATTGTCAAGGTGTATCTATTTTTACACGCGATTTTGCTAATTTGGATTGATTTCAAATACATTTCCTTTATATATGTTATAATGAATCACTTACCTTTCCAAGATAGGCAAAAGGATCTGCCTGCTCCCAAGATATAGGTGCTGGTGGACGAGCTTTTTCAGGCAAACTTTCAGGTACAGCCACTAATATAAAAAACACATCCAACACTGCGATAGCAGTTGCCAATGCAACCACAAGATTTTCACCATACTCTTTCATGATATAATCTCCTAATGCTGGACTTATTACCATACTTGCAGCGAAAGTTGCAGATACCTAATAAAATATACTTATGAAACGAAATATCTAATATGAATTATGTTTTCATATCTTTGACATTATGATACCTACCATACCATATGCAGCAGATCTTTGATGTTCTTCTGTTACATCGGCAACATATGCAAACACCACTGAGAATGTGCAAGCAAAGACACCGCTGATGGAGATCATAGCAAAGAACCACCATGTGTTAATGCTCATTAGAGGAATCGGCGCACATGTAAAGGCTACTGTGATAAGTAGAAAGAACTTTCGTCCCCAAACATCAGACAGAGCACCAATCAATGGTGCAGAAAGAAATGACAAGATCCCTTTAATGCCCATTATTAAGCCATTCATCAGGAACGTATGATTTGGAAATGTGATATTCAATACAGAGATAACAGGCATGGTTAATAAACCCCATGCAAAAAATTCCAAAAATATTACAACCAGAGCATGGTACACGCTTGCCTCTCCGATACCAGAACTCTGAAAAAAAAAATAATGGATCACATCACACTTGTTTCTTTTAACAATCAATTAATACACAATTCATAAGCAGCCATGATATCTATGTGTTGTACCCAGCAAGTGTGGAACAATAAAAATATAATATCGTACGAAAAAACGGAAGAATAATATTTCTTAAATTTCATCAAATCTACAAGCACTTTGCAAATCGTGACAGCTGACCTTAAGATGCCTGTAGCATTGCTGAGCAAATGTAAGAGGAGGTGTGAGTTTAGCAATAGCATGTTCTTGGCTGTTGTGAATTTCAGAACAAGAGGGGCCCAGGCCCTCTGCTCCACCTTTTGCCCCAGGGGGCATGACCCCTAAGAATTGCTACTATATATATCTTTCCATACTTATCATTCTATCAATTTTTTCTTTTATCAGTTGTTCAGATCCATATAATACTGTAACGAATAACCTTCACTTAGCACCATATCAGTTTTTAGTCGTTCAATCTAATCTCCATTAATTAAAGATTATTATTACTTTAATTATATAAATTTATATATTAATTCCAATTGAAAGCTCTATTCCAGTATCTCTGCATTTTGTTGATTTTGTTAAATATTTTTGTTGTGTACTCAGCTTCTATGTTTGCTTCTATACATGTTCTTATAGTATTTCATATATCATTTCATCTAATAAGTTATAGTACATTGTTTTCTTATATCTCATGTAGATTATATTATTCTTAATTGTACACATGTATAAAATAATTGAATCAGTAATTGCGACAAGCTTCTTTTGTATCTTTGT